TTTTTCTTTCCTCTTCTTTTTACTTCTGGTTGAGCTCTGATCATCCAGTCACTGAAGCCAGGATAAGTGGGTATTATCTGCAAGTGTGGGTGTTCTTATACATATGCCGTCTCTTCTTATCAGCTGGATGCTTCACTCTCCACTCTAGTCCTCTGTGGCTATGTCACTGACTCTGAGCCCAAGAGTCCCCAGGCCTTGCCACACTGTTGGCTAACCAGGTCTTCACCTGGGTTCACAGAAGTCTATTGAACGTTGTAGGGCTTAGCTCACCGCTTCATTGCTGTTTTTCCCTCACTTCCCCTTATCGGTGTCGAGCGTGGTCACCAATCACAGCCTGTATTCCCGTTGAGTCTTAGTTTTGGAAGGGGGTTTGCATTGAGGGGACCCGACCACTTGCCTTGATGTTTCCTGGGCCCTTCCATCTTCTTTTGATACTTTTTGCATCTTTCAATTTTTGCCCATAGAATCCTTCAATATTGCAAGTCGACGCTTGAATTTTTTTTTTTTCAGGTCTTTCAGTTTAAAAGATGCAGATCATGTTCATTAGTAGATATCTTCAATATTTTTATATTTTAATCTCTTTTATAGTTATTTTGGCCCCACCCTCGAAATAAACTCCATTGTATAAATAAAATACAGTAAGAGGGCATTACCTGTAACTAAATTCTGTTACTTGGCCATAAACCCAAAACCTATTGCCATCAAGTCAATTTCAATTCCCAGCAACCCTAAAGTGCAAAGTAGAGCTTAACCATAGGGTTGCCTGAGCTGTAATATTTACGGGAACCGTTTGCCAAATCTTTCTCTCATAGGGCAGCTGTTGGATTTGAACCACTAACCTTTCGGTTAGCAGCTGAGCACTTAACCACTGTGTCACCAGGGTTCCTTTGACCATAAATAATTGATCATAAATGCACATTTACATGAAAGTCACATAAGAAAACTTTGTGTAATTTCAGGCCTGTGCTAAAATTACAGGCTTGTGGGTGTCATGTTATGTAATTGTCCATAGAAATGTGGCATGCAATCTTCATTATTTGTAATATAAATAGCACATGCCCATTCAAATGAAATTTTAAGCAAATCTACTTTCTAGTCCCAAATATTTAATTAGTCACTTTAAGATTTTTTTTTTTTTTTATATTTAGCATTTGTCCTTAGGAGGAGCTGTTAAAGTTAAAGAAGTGTGAATATCTGTCAAACACAGTTTTTGAAAGAGTGTATGTACGTTTTATATAGTACAAGAAAAGCATAATTAATAGCTGATTAGGATAATGAAAGTAATATACACCAGATGTAGAGAAGACCTTGTGGAAAATTAATATGAATTAGGTAACATGCGATTTGGTCAAAGCAAGCTTGTTGAGAAGAATTAAAACAGTGGACATGTGGATGGAGAATCAGTGTCTGTCTACCTCCTCCATCTAGGGAATAATTTAATCAAGTTTGCTATTGTAATACTCAGGGCTTCAATCTGTTCCATTTTCACAAATCGATAACTTGGGATTTGGGTTTTGTTATGCAGGATTCCTGTATGGTCAAGGTGTCGTGTTGAGATGATCACTTATTAAGTAATTAAATAAAGCCATGTCTGTAGGTACAAATGGAAAAGTAACAAAAGATTTTGAGTTCTCTGATTCACTTCCAGATACCACTTAATTAATAGATAACTCATTCCCTGTTTAAGTTCATTGGTTGGCAGCAGTTTAATTCTCTTTTCTTATGCCTTCCAAATGTTCACCAAAAGTTTATGCTTTGAGAAACTAGAAATCAGTAATTCTTTAATTGGCATACACAGGTGCATTTGGAAGCAATATACACATAATAGTTATGTTTAACATCTTTTAAGACCTTAATATGTGCCAGGCGTTATGATAAGTGTTTTACTTCCATTATGTCATTTACTCCTCATAGCAATGAGGTATAGTTGTCATCAATATCATCTGCATTATTCCAGTTTTCAGACGAGGTACTCTGATCATAGACAGATAAAGAAATTTATCCAAAGTTATACAGATAACAAATTATAGACCTGAAAGATGAACCCAGACCAATTGGTCTTAACCAATATATACATATGTTGATAATGTCGTAAGGGACAAGAAGAGAAAAATTGTATCGTTTTAATTTATAATTACATTAATTCATAGAAATGTGTATAGTTTTTTATGTGGTGTGAGTCTTCTTTGCTGATTTACTTCATTGATTTTCATCAAGTTATTATAGATGTAAGGAGTGCAAGTAGATAGTTTTTCCTACCTGCTAGAAATAATTAATTGATGAATTTTTAAATAATCTCTTCCATATTTGCTTTTAGGCAATTATATTTTAAGTCATATTCTAATTTTGAAATGTGTATAGATCAACCTGGTCCAAAACGTTGCTCACAAAAAGGGTGTCAATTACAATGTGTTCTTGGATCTACTCTGAGGAACTCACCAAGCATAAATGGTTTAAGGTAGTATACCTAGTTTAGGTGAAAACACTTGTGTTTCTTTTTAAAAATAGAATAACAAAAATGGAGTCAGTTTGTTTTTGTTAAGTTGCGATTGAACTGGTTCTGACTCATAGCGACCCTAGTCATAACAGAATGACACACTACCTGGTCTTGTGCCATCCTCACAGCTGTTACCTTTGAGCCCATTGCTGCTGATAATGTGTCGATCCATCTCCTTGGATTGCCTTCCTTTGTTTTGCTGACCTTCAACTTTGACAAGCATGCTATCATTTTCCTGGGACTGGTCCCTCCTGATAACATGTCTGAAGTATGACAAAGTCTCGCCATCCTGGCTTCTATGGAACAATCTCGTTGTACTTTTTTCAAGGGATATTTGTATGTTCTTCTGACAGTCCATAGTACTTTTAATATTCTTCTACAGTACCATAATTCACATGCTTTGATTCTTCTGTGGTCTTCCTTACTCATTGTCCAACTTTCACATGTGTATGAAGAGAATCAAAATACCATGGTTTGGGGCAGGTGCACCATAGTCCTCAAACTGGCACCTTTGTTCTTGAACACTTTAAAGAGGCCTTCTGTAACAGATTTGCCTAATACAATAGGTTGCTTGATTTATTGACCATTGAGCTACATGAGTGCTGATTCTGGATTCAAGCAAAATGAAGTAATTGACAACTTCAATCTTTTCTCCATTTATCATGATGTTATTTATTGGTCCAGTTGTGAGGATTTTTATTTCCTTTACATTGAGGTGTGCTCCATATTTAAGGCTATAGTCTTTGATCTTCATCAGTAAATATTTTAAGTCCTCTTCATTTCCAACAAGCAAGGTTTTAATAGCTGTATTCACAGGCTGTTAATAAGTCTTCCTTAAATTCTTCTTCTTAAGATAATCCAGCTTCTTGCATTATTTGCTCAGCATACAAACTGAGTCAGTGTGTTGAAAGATATACTAACCCTAGTACACACCTTTCCTGATTTTAAACCATGCAGTATCCTCTTGTTCTGTTCTAATGACTGCTTCTTGGTCTATATACACTCCCTTTAGGAGCACGCTTATGGGGGTTCTGGAGCACCCATTCTTCATAGTGTTATCCATAGTAGAGTCAAATGTAGAGTCATATGAAAACTGGAGTCATTTTTAAGTTCATGGAAAAAATATAAAAGAGAAGAGAAAAAATGCCTGCATGCAGAAATAAAGACTAAAATGTTTGGATTGACAATCAGTGTAATAAACTTAAAGTTGTTTGTATGGAGGCAGAGGAAAAATAATTTTTAAAAGTTATGATTATTAAAAACAGACTTTTATTTTAATCACTTATAAGTAAGATTAGGATTCAGAGATGCTCTTTAGATATTGCTAAAATAGTAAATTTAAAATATGGAATGGGATAGATTCCTAATGAGTTATGATTCCTCTGTAATTGATAAATAAATGCAAGAATTTTTTCTTTTGAAATATTAAAGTAATATAAGCCTAAAAAACCTAAAACAATTTATAAGAAAATTCAATAAAGCAAGTAGGATATAAGATTAAAAAACTAGATAAATAGATTTCCTATGTATCATAACTTTAGCATTTTATTTTTTAATTAATATTTATTTTGCCATTAACAACAAAAATGTAACATTCATAACATATTAGGAAATTTAATGAGAAAGCATTCATTGAGTTTGTCATTGTTGTTAAGTGTCATCTAGTTGGTTCTGACCCATAGCAACCCTGTATAGATTTTCCAAGGAGCAACTGATGGGTTTGAACTGCCAATCTTATGGTTCACAGTCCAGTGCTGATCATGCAGTGCCAGATGTCCTCACTGAGAATAGTCAAGAAAACAAAGAAGAAAAAAGAATAATTTCATAGTGAATATACTGAATCAAAATGTTAAGATATATGAAAAGGAATCAAGACTACATTGAGTGAGACAGCGTATTTCCCTAAGTCTAATACAAGTCCATTCTATTTTATTAACTAGAATAACATATTGATTACTATCTTGAAATTATTTACAAAGGGTTTATAATATAATGGAAAATGCTAGTTATATTATCAAGTGATAAATATGTAAATACAGAAAGTAAACAGAACGAAATATGCCTAAATGTGAACCTTACTGACTATTATGGAGTCCTGGTGTGGCACCGTAGGATAAGCACTGAACAAGAAGCTCTGTTTGAACTGCAAGATTGGCAGTTCAAACTCACCAACCCCTCTTGGAAACCCTACACAGAGTCACTGATTCAGATTCGACTCGACAACACTTAACAACGACAACAATAGTAACAACATTAGCTATTATTGGAAGATGGGGTCATTTTTTCACTTTTTGTATTTGTGTGTATTTTTCCTAAGAAATATAAATACTTTTGTAATAGGAAAATATGCAAATGCCATTTTTGACACACTAGATAAAAACTTAAGGACTTTGGTCTTATGGATAAAAGAAGTGTTTATATTTTTGCATACATCCTCATCTTTATTGTTCGTTCACATGGTTTTAAATTTCCTTAGAAAGATGTGCGGGACATTCTCACTCCAATTCAAATAGAAGCTGCTTACCACCTTGGACATCACGTCATCAATAAACGAAGTATTGAGGAATTCCAACCCCTTCAGCCAATTCTTCAGCAGAAGAAAGAAAAAGACATCATTAAAAAAACGGTTAGGATATTTTTCTTTCTTCAAATATTATTTACATGCAAATAGCGTTTTTAATGTGGCATCAATCTGGGAAGTGAACTATTTCTCTGAATTCTTCATTATAATTTTTTAATGAATAGCTTTCTTATAAAAATAGATGTATGGTATATCTTGTTTTCTATTTTCTTTAAACTTTTTCATTTCCTTTAGAAGAGTGAAGTGAATGTTTTTAAATATGTATTTAATCATAGCTGTAGTTCATGTGTGTATAAAATGCTAATTTTCTTTCCTCACTACCTTGCCAGTGAAGAAAATATATTACTAGAGAGAAATTGTAACAGAAGTAAGTTATATTGATGGGTTAGTTATTCAGTATCATCATGTATGATCTATTTATCTTTGGTTTTCTAATTTTGTCTCTCTGTCTCATTCACCCTACCCACGGATTCACTTCCCTTATTAGTCTAATTCCCTTGCTGTGTTTTCCTCATTTATAAACATATGTATTTATGTTACACATCAATTTCTGTTTTTGTTTTGTTCTTAAATTTTCATTATATGCTTTTCAGCTACCTTCATTTGAAAATAGATCTTCATACTTTCTAAATAATGAACTGCATTTTCTGTACTTACAGTTGTAATTCCAGGAAGTAATTCCAGGAAATCTTGCTCAAACTTATGCTGTCCAGCTGTAAAAAGACAGTCTACAGGGTATGTTTGGGCATGGTAAAGAACATTCATTAAAACATCTGCTAATGGCATAATGCCAAAGATGAAAGGGACATTTAAGTGTCTAATTCATACCCTGTCCAGACAAAATTGCTCCTAGTTACTTTAAGAAATTTGAGCATACAATCATCATTGTCTAGTCTAGAAAGTAAATCAAAGGAAGATAGTAACTTAAGAGCACATTATCTTTATATCCTTATAAAAATTCTTTATGTAAGTCATCTTTTTACTCTTCTGTTAAGTTTTAATTTTCAATATCAATAACTTTTCAATGCCTTTAATAATGAAAATTGCAATGTTATAAGTACACAAACCTTAGTAATTTGTAGTTACATTAGAATTATCTACATTTTGATTCTTAAAGTTATCTGCTTTACAAATGAGAGGACAGAAAAAAACAAAAACATTTACTTAGTCATTTTGAGAATGATTGATGCTTTTCTATGGCTGCTCCAGATATAGTCAGCATGTGGTCTGCAATGCTACTGATGATACTGTTACCACTTTCCAGTTTTCCTCCCTGGTTCCTTCTCTGACTTTCTAGAGTTCTCTTAGTTCTGCTTTTCTTCCTCATTCATCCATTCCTCTCATCTTCCTTTCTTTTTATCCCTCCACATTTGTCCTCTTGTTAGACTTGTTGCTCATCTCAGATGTGCCTGGCCTATACCTTCTGGTATTTTGTGTTGCTGTTGTTAAGTCCTTTGAGTCAATTCCAGCTCATAGTGACCCTGTATAAGGTTCCCAAGGCTGTAAATCTTTACAGGAGCAGAAAGCCCCATCATTCTCAGCGGAACCCCTGAAAGTTTCAAACTGCTGACTGTGAGGTTAGCAGCCCGACTCATAACCACTATGCTACCAGAGCTCCTAAAATGTATATGTTGGTGCTATCAAAGTGCTAGAGTGATATCAATTCTAAAACCCTAACGATAGGCTAACATTTAATTTTGTCCAGCATTTTCTCAAAGTAGTATTTCTATATTCCAACATTTTATCAATTTTAATGAATACAAAATCACTGTTCTTCCATTTTTCAAAATTAAGTAAGTGCTATGATTGAGTGTAAGAAGTGTGATTAAACTGTAGCCACAGAAAATTGATACTAACTGCATGAAGAACATCTTGGCAGCACCACTTTTTAAACACTTATATTGGTTATTTACCTAAATGTGATTGAAATTTTTTTCACAACTGTTACAAAAGGAAACAAAAAGAATTGGTTGGAATGAAAAACTGAGACCACACTAGTATTTTCCAATATCCATATTCCTATAGGGGCTTTTCGTTTAACCTTAGTTCTCAAACTTTATTTTATTTAACAAGTTTAGACTCTCAGTTTACCTTTTGGAGGAACTTACTTATAGGAGCCCTGAAATAATTTCTTATTTGAACCTACTGAATAATTCTTAAGTTGAATTCCTCAAAAGAGTGTTACCAATATGGTGCATCATTTCATTTTGTCATGTATTACAGATATCTTTTTTTTTAAGCACATATATACCCACTTAGTGAATTAAAATAAAATATTTTGTCATGTTTTATTTCCAGATAAACTTTGCAAGGTTTTGTGTCCATGAAAATTGTTCTGCTGATTTACAGGTGTCTGCAAAAATTGGATTTACAAAGTAAGTGCACTGTCTGTTATTTTTTAGCTAAAAGAAGGGAGCATGTATGTTTGGGTTCCAGAGAAAAGAACTAATAACAAATCTTAGAGGTTAACAGCATGTAAAGAACTGGAAAACAAAATCATTCTACTGAGAGAGATTAAATGATCTGTATATCATTCATAATAGCACTTTTTCAAAGAATGAAAATATGTGAAAAAAGGCAATATGGAATATGTTTTAGTCTTTCATTGGTAGCTCACGATACATTTCAGGATTTATTTGCACCTTGGGTTATCATGATCATAACTACAGTTATATATTAAACATTTGTAGATGTCTATTAGCAGAATTTTGGTGTTTGGTGGTAAAATAAGCTTTCACTACACAATACTTTATTTTTTATCAACCAGAAAACTGATTATATAATTCAGATTGTGTACAAAGCAGAAAATTTCCTAAATACTGTATAACAAATTTGAAAGAGAAATAACCCATGTTACTCTACTAAATTCATAGAAAGGAAAACAGAAAAAGAAATAAATTAATGTGTGCCTAGTACTGGATCAGTGTTTGTTGGTGTTATTATTTTATGCTGAGCTATAAACCAATTGTAATTTTGATACCATGTCTAGATACTCTGTAATCAAAATGTTTTGCATAATCAGAGGAGTGATGAAAGAAAATGAATAGAAGAGAGATAAAAATCTATCCTTCAGGCTGATTACATATGGAAGTGGAAGTGGGGAGGAGGATTCAGAGCAGTAAATTAGCTTTGGAAGGTCAGGCAAGAAAGAAAATATGAGGTACTTCAAAAAGCTAAATTAAAAAGATTTTTAATTAAGAAATTAAAGAATCATTTCATGTTTTCCCATATAATTTGGGAAATGTTGAATTGGGTGTGACTTCTATGTGTAGCTCTCTGCTTGAAAATCTAGCTTTATATTAGATTTGGATGTCCTCTGAAGACCAAACAGTTAAGCATTCAACTGGCAATTGAAAAGTTGGTGGTTTGAACCCACCTAGAGGTATTTCAGAAGAAAGCCTAATGATCTGCTTCCAGAAGATCACAGCTATGAAAACCCTATGGAGCACATTTCCACTCTGCACACGTGGGGCTACCATACATCAGAATTCAGTCTACAGCAACTAGGTTCTAGACTTAATGACTTGAGAGAATCCTTGGTGGGTGAGGGTGGTTTTGAGAATGTGAATTTCAGATCACATTCTCAAAAAGATCAAATCTTGGGAGACAACTGTATTTAAAGACCTGAAAGGGATTGGAAGGCACTGTGGGAGACTGAAACGTGTGCTTAGAGAACTAAGAGGAGAACCAAGTCTACAGTGCAATAGCCAGTGGAGAATATAACAGGCATTTAAGTAATTCCGGTATGGCACTATAAGTGAAACACTGGAATGCTAACCAAAAGGTTGGCAGTTCAAACCCACCAGTCACTCTTTGGAAACCCTATATAGGGTCGCTATGAGTTGGATCCAACTTTACAACACTTAACAATAGAAACAATATTCAGAAATTTTTCAGAGAGATCAAAGAGCATTGTGACTGAGGATAGGTCATGCTGACAAATGTTAAGATAGAAATTGCACACAGTAATAGCTAGATGACAAGGATTTGAAGGTTGGAGATAAAGAATAAGAAGCAAATGTTTTTGGTTATGATCAAAGGAAGAAGATTATATTGGAGATAAGTAAGTTTAATGAAGAACTTTTATGTTTATATCAAATGTTATTTATTTTAAATCATGGGGAGACATAAGCAAGTATGAGTGTGAAAAGAAGGGAAAGAATAAATTAGATATTCAAATATAATGGGCCTGTTTCTGTTCCTGCTTAAACTCACCTCAGAAGTATTTGACAGCTAGCTATTCACGTCATCTTTTTGAAAGTGTTTCCTTCACTCCAAGGGTGGCAAATCATTTTTCTAACAAAATTTGCAACAACATTCATGGGCCATACAAAATTATCAACTTAAAAATTAGCCTACTATATGTGGTCAAACATTTGATTAACTTACCAGTAATGTGATGATCCAACCTTGCTTGCTGAAAGTGAAGAGGACTTAAAATATTTACTGATGAAGATCAAAGAGCACAGCCTTCCATATGGATTGCATCTCAATACAAAGAAAACAAAAATCCTCACCACTGGACCAATGAACAACATTCTTATCAACAGAGAAAAGACTGAAGTTGTCAAGGACTTCATTCTTCTTGGATCAACTGTCAGCACTCATGGAAGCAGCAGTCAAGAAATCAAACAACGCTTTTCATTGGACAAATAAATCTGCTGCACAAGACCTTTTAAAAGTATTGAAGAATAAAGATGATAGCTTGAGGATTAAGATGCACCTGATCCAAGCCATGGTATTTTCAATAACCTCATATGCATGTGAAAGCTGGGCAGTGAATAAGGACGACTGTAGAAGACTTGATGCTTTGGAGTTATGGTGTTGGAGGAGAATATTGAAAGTGCCATGGACTGCCAAAAGAATGAACAGATCTGTGTTGGAAGACCTGCAGCCAGAGTGCTCCTTGGAGGCCAGGATGGCTAAACTTCATCTCTCATACTTTGGACATATTGTCAGAAGGGACCAGTCACTGGAGAAGGATATCATGTTTGGTAAGGTGGAGGGTCAGAGAAAAAGAGGAAGACCCTCAGTGAGATGGATTGGCAAAGTGGCAGCATCAATGGGCTCAAGCATGGCAACAATAGTGAGGTTGGTCCAGGATTGGGCAGTGTTTCATTCCTTTGTGCATAAGGTCGCTATGAGTTGTTACCGACTCAATGGCACCTAACAACAACAACAACAATGTGATGGCTGTGAGTTCTGGTGTGGCACTGTGGATTAATGCGCTGGACTGAAAAGTTATGTGAACCAAAAAATCGGTGGTTCAAGCTCACCTGCCCTTCCTTGGAAACCCTATACAGGGTCACTATGGGCCAGAACTGACTCAATGGCACTTAACAATAAGAACAAATGTGATGGCTGGCACTGCCGTTGCCTTGGCAGGGCCAGACCAAATGATTTTGCAGGCTGGATGTTCCCTACCCCTGCTTTACTCCTTGGGCATCCTTGTTGTTGTTATGTGCCTTCAAGTCGGTTCCGAATTATAGTGCCCCTGTATAGGGTTTCCAAGGAGTGGCTGGTGGGGTCGAAACACTGATCTTGTTTCTAAAATGACCTTGTGGTCTAGTGCTTATCCTACAGCACCACACCAGGACGCCTCTTCATCTTTATCCTGTCCATATTGCTGTCTTTGGGGATCTTTGGTTTTGGCTCTTTTGGCTCCCCAAATGATCATTATGTAATCCTTTCTCTCAGATTCATATTTTTTCTGGATAATCTTGCTCACAACTGTGGCTTTTCCTGGGGCCTGCACTGTTTATGCTCCAAGCAGTATCTCTGAGTTCTACACTCACATATCCAATTGCCATGTCTTTGTGAGGGTCCTACAGATTCAACCTGCCCAATTGCTATCCACAAATAATACACCATTACTTAGTTACCAGAACCAGAATCCTAGGGTTACCCTAAACTCACCTCTATTTCCTTTGCTGACATCCAGTAAGTTACTAAATCCTAAAATTCACCAGTGAACTATATCTTTTTAGCCAACATACTTCTCTACCACTATTTTCCAAAAGTAAGCATTCAGTACCCTACCTGGATCACCAAGCTTCCCCCAATTCTGGGTGGCTAATTTTGTATTTTATTTTGTTTTGTTCCTCTATTATAATGTTTTCTTAGTAAATGTCTAGAATACAATGTGTCAGTGGTTCCTTATGACTCTAAATTGGAAACTGCTCATTGCTGTTTTGCACCAATTCCCTAGGACAGTGGCACAAAATGTTAAGGATTCAGTTACTAACTAAAAGGTTGGCAGTTCAAGTCTACTTATAGGTGCCCCAAAAGAAAGACCTGGCAATCTACTTCTTAGAAGCCAGCCAATGAAAGCTCCACGTAGCTCAATTTTTACTGTCACATAAGAGGGTCACAGTGAATCAGAATCAACACAACAACATCTGGTTTGGTCTTTTTTTCCCAATAATGGCCGAATACTTATAATTGTTTAGTTCTGTCATGTTCTCCTGAGCCGCTGCATCTTTTTACTTCTCTCATGTATCTAGCTGATACTGTTTTAATCTTCCTTTAAATTCTTCTCTCTCCAAGGGGAAGCCCCCTTGTCTCCAGCTACATAAACTCTTGTGTCCCTGGCCCTTTGCACTTGGACATAGCACCAGTACTGACTTACTCCACATTATCCTGCTTGAAGTCAGGTTTCTGTCTTTTCATCCTTGTATTTCCAATGCACGGCCTGTATGCAATGCTGTAGGAGACTATTAGATGTTCATGCATAAGAGATGTCCAACTCAAAGGTGGAGGAATTAGCATTACAAAGAAGTTTAGAGCTCCTTATCTTAAGATGGTACCTGGGTGATGCAAATGTTTAAGAAGTTGGTTACTAAAAAAAGGTTTAGTAATCGACTTCAGAATAATCGGTCACTGAAGACCTAATTCTGCTCTGACACACCATGAGTCAAAATCAACATGACAGTAGCCAGTTTGTTGAGTTTTGATTTATCTTGAGATGGGAAGTATGAAATATACTTCTTGTCATTAACACATTTAAGTGTAGAAAGAAGAAAATGGAGCAACTTTATGGACGGCCATGATAAAAATGAGTTCTTATGTGGAAAGTGAGGACTTGGAGGGTGAATCTGAGATCTTGAAAGAAATGGAAAGAGATTCACGATGGCTGTTATAATAAAGGTTGGATGTTATTGTTGTTGATTCTGACCAATAGCGGCCCTGTATAGGGTTTCCAAGGAGCAGCTGGTGAGCTTAAACCACTGACCTTGCAGTTCAGAATGAGTAAAAATGTTGGTAAATAATGCTAAGTGCCCTGCTGAGGTGGGATCACTATTGTTGTTGTTAAGTGCTGTGAAATCTGTTCCGACTTATAATGAATTTGTATGTGGTTTCCAAGGAGCAGTTGGTA